ACACAATTACAAAATAAAATAAAAAAATAAAATGACAATTATTATTGAAGACTTCTAAATGTATGCACGAATTTAATACGCTTTTAAGTATCCTCGTATGAATATAAAACAATGTTTGAGTGCATATACGTGTCTACATACTCTAGGGAATAAGCGGTACGAATTTGCCAATAGGAGAACCCAATATTAAAGTCTCGGAAAATCTCGATGAACGGAAGACGATCGAATCCAGTCGGATAAATAAATAGGGATCCGCCATTATCTAGAAAACCAGCCCTCGACGCGTACGGACTACCCCCGCACTACCCTTTCACTTCCCCCCTTCGGCCGACGGACCCCTTCCCACATCGAGCGGACGGGTCAATGGAATTCATAACGTTTGCGCGGATAAAAAAGCTGGCTGGCTGGTTTCGCAAGAGGGTGGGGCCGCATCGGAACATTACTCATGCCTCGGCGTTCGCGCAATTTTTAGCTCTGAAATAAATCATCATTATTGCGGCCGGAGGGATGCGCATTATGGGGGCTACGGGGGTAGATTATCGTAGGTGGAGAACACCCCTTTACTCCCTACGCACCAACCCCGAACCTGAAATCGGCTAAAAGCGAAGGCATTCCCAATACGAAGCTTCGTTAATGCTTCGTTAGTGGCGAACGTCGGAAAGTTCTTTACAGTCATTCGTTCGATCGTCTATACTTTCCTTCTTATATAATACGGCTGGTCTATAGTTACGATATATTTTAATTTTTATTTAACAATTTATTCTCATCAAATCGAAAATATTTCATAGTATTATATTACATAGATAATCTTGTGCTACTTGACAGTACATTATTATCGCGTTATATACGTGCATATTTAATGATACATCAATCTCTGTTATATCATGTAACGCTGAAAATCGAATTATCTAGATCGATGCATCCGATACAAAAGCAATATTTAGTCTGAACGTTTTTATTATCTATATACCTTTCGCATAGTCTAATAAAGAAACAATCAAACAAATTAAAAACGATCAGAACGTGAATGCGACGTCGTATCAAGAAATGACCGATCGAATAGATTCCCATCGTAAACCGTAGGTAATTCGCTTCCCTCGTCTCGGTGATTACCTTTATCGCTTTCTTCGTTCGAAAGTAAAAACAAAAACGATTAAGAATTAAGCTGGGTAATTAATTACAGCCGGACATGATGTAGCAATGCCGCGACGATATTATCGGTGCATATATTTGGCTAGAGGTCGGGACACAGCGGCCGGGGTGCGAGTGTTGAGTTGATGTTTGCCAGCTGATTGATGATGTAACATCATCCCGGTAACTCTCCCACCGATTTCCGCCGTTTCTCTCTCTCTCTCTCTCTCCCTCTCTCTCACTTACTCTCTCTCTGTCTCTCTTTCTCTACCCACTCTTCGCTTAACCTCTCGCTTTCTCGCAGCAATGCAACACCCCATCGTCATTGAACGTATGCATATACATATACATACGTATATCGCATATACCCGTACGCACGGCAGCTTCTCTCGCTTTCCGTCTACTGTTTCCTGTTGCTGTCCGGCACGCTCACCGATTAAATACTCAAACTATCGACAATAAATGCGCTTCTATATAGGTATTTTCATCGACGTCATTTTAATTAGCGGTTTGTTTGATCATACGCGTTAAACGATACAAACTTAATGATTCGTTTTGCTTGATAAGATGACTTTTAAGACGTTCTTGATCGAGAGAACGAATATTGAAAACGTACAAATAAGATCAACGTTTAAATATGTACATATATATAGTTGTATTTACGCGAGTGGAACAATAATTAATTAACAGTACAAATAGATCAAATTATATACCATCGAAAAAGATATCCAATCGCTTCGTGTTATCTCGACGCGTGTTATTTATTTGAATTATTGCCTAAAACTAACGCTTGTCCTTATTTGTCAATAAATCCTGACGCATAAAAATAACCTACTCGTTCGTTTACAGACCCGTTCATAATAAACAAAATTTGTATATTTTTTAACAAGTCAACTGCCACGCAAGTATTATATATTTCGCCCCCCCCCCCTATAGGCTTATTCTAATGTAAGATTAGGTATAAAACAATATAGTAACGACGGTAGCAAATGACCCACATGACTCTATTGAAAAAAACAAACCGGTAAAAAGCAATCACGGATAAACTACAACGCAATCAACGTGTACGTGTTGAATAAGAGCTAGAAAAATCTACGTTTGTTAATATCATTTAAACAAGCCTTGAACTAATTCGTAATAATTATCGAGAGTTCCGAGAAGATAATAAATATATAAAAAAGTTGCAAACAGTAGCAGTGTATAAAAAAGAAATAATTCAAAGATAAACGAGTATGACAAATGTCTTTCGATCGAGCAAAGAAACATAAGGTTAATTTGTGCAACGTGTTGTAGAAGAATGGGAAGGGGGTGAGTAAGGGGGGCGTAGGGGGGAGATTTATTCTAAATTGAGACGTAAACTCGACGTCAAGGCGACGCGAAGAGAGTGGGTTAAGGTTATCCGGCTCATTAACGGAGTTAAGCGGATGCACTGCGCTAACGCGTGCGCACGATGCGCACGATGCGCCCTCGCGAATCGCTACGAAGTTCGTGCGCTTGGCAATCATCGGTAATTGTGACGATCGATCTTGATCGAAATGCTCATTTCCCGTTTGTCGGGAAGCCGCGAGGCGAGACGAAGGGATGTAGAAGGGAGAGGGGTTCTTCGTGGAAGTCGAAGAGAGACAGAGAGTGTGAGAGTGAGAGAGCGAGAGAGAGAGAGAGGGTCGAAGGCTCGACCTAGCCGACGCATCATTAACGTGATTAATGTTGAAATAAATCAGGAGCCTCGGAATGGTAGTCGATAAATCCAATAATTGCAGTATAATCATAAGTAAACAGGTAACGTTGATCGCGTTAGCGTATCATTAGCAACGATCACCGGGCTACTATTATCTACGTTTAATCGTCGAACGTTCCCTCACTCTCTTTCTCTCTCTCTCATTCTCTCTCACTCTCTCTCTCTCTCTCTCTCTCTCACACACTTTCTTTTTTCCTTTTTCGCTTGTTATCTTAAACTCTTCCTTCCCACCTCTCTCTCATAAACTCATAAACTCTTATAAATTCTCTCTCTCTCTCTCTCTCTCAATTGAGCGAAGGAAAAGGAAATCCCTTGATAGGAGTTTCGAATTTCATCGCAGCTTCCAAGATGATGGTTAATCTCGATTGATTAACCACAAACGCGAGTCCCATTTAATTTTAATTCTGATCTTCTTTCAAAATCTCATGTGAACTATATAATTTGTACGTTGGTGTTTCCAATTAAAATTTGAGTTATATGGTGTTAAAAATGATTAACGATTGTATCGAATTACTTTTCTTTTTTTTTTGTTCTTTTGTAATACTTTCTCAACGTTCAAAACTATCTATCTACGCGTTCGGGTTCTTCGCATGACTTTGTTTTCTCTATCTCGAACTGCCTATATTCGTCGAAAAGGACTTGGTTAAAGGGTCGACGAATCGTTCGATACGAGTCGATCTATTCGATTCCGGGTAAAGGGATAAAAAGAAAGGAATGGTATCGTGATTGGTGACTGGACAGGCCGAACGAACAAAGGGATTCGCTTCTCCATATCAGTTTGGTGGCAAGGCAGGGCAGCGCAGGGCAGGGAAGGGCAGGGTAGGGCAGTCGAGGTCCGTTCGATCTTCCCTGCACTCCCCCCCCCTCGTCGAACCGTACCCCTACCCTACCCCTTATCCACAAGTTTTAATTATAAACGAAACGTAAGAGCCAGATTTCGCGTATTTATTTCGCGGCGAGGCTGATCGGCCAACCGAGCCGAGACGAATCAGCGCGCGGGCCGCCGTACCGTTTATGCGCGCCTTTCATTATTTGGATCAGCGAGTTCGAATTAATCGAGTTCAGGAGGGGGATCGGCTGGTTGGATGAAGTCTCGCGGAAAGGCCAGACGTTCGAGAATGAACGACAAGATTAGAAAGAAGGAGAATTAAAAGATTGTCTTTTTGTATTTCTTTTTTTCTTTTTTTCTTTCTTTCTTTCTTTCTTTTTAAGTACACTCGATAACCGGTGTTATCATTTCAATTCATTTATAAATTTATACATACATATATATATATATGTTAATATCATTTTACTCGCGTAAGTTTCTAAAACTCTTGTTGGAAATAAAAGTAATGATCTTATTTCGTCTGGCTAAACCACTGAAAGCATGGATGAAAAAAGAGTCATTTACAGGTTGCTTGCACTTCACGCGATCCTATTATGCTAGTAGCTTTAGCGAGTCGATGTTCACGTGGCGGAGTATACACACGTACGTGTTTACATACTTGGATAGATACGCACACTAAAATATATGTATACGTAGATTGTAGGTAGAAGCCGGAATTCAAGCCGTTTCGAGAGTGAGAGTAAGACGAGAAGTGGAAAAGAGGGAGAAGAGAGACAGGGAGACAGAAAGAGAGAGAGAGAGAGAGAGAGAGAGAGAAAGATAGATGGATGAGAGCAGAGTAGGATGTGGAGAGCGTGTGCGTACAAAATTGAGAGAGACAGAGATGGAGAGGGACAGAGAGAGAGAGAGATAGAGAGAGAGAGAGAGAGAGAGAGAGTGTGAGTGCATAGGCGAGAAACCGTGTCGGCGGATAACACAGGAGCTTTAACACACGCCGCGGACAATCGCCTCACGATAGATACATAATAAGCGTACTGTCACTTGCATACACCTACACTCGCGCGCATACACATACGGTTCTAGGCACGAAGCATCTAAGGCCGCGGAGGGCTAATGAAGCCCAAGCTAGTTAGAAGCCCGATGTTAATTAAATGATATGATCATTAGTCATTATAACGTCATTGTGTCGCCGTCGACTTGCCTCTACGCCTCGCGTGGATCACTCGAGGGACCTAAAGAGGTGAGTGGAGATACGGAGAGTGCAGGAGAGTACAGAGAAAGGGAGAGAGAGGGAGAGAGAGAGAGAGAGAGAGAGGAAGAACTAGAGAAAGAGAGAAACTGAGAGAGAGAGAGAGAGAGAGAGAGAAAGATAGTGTGTAGGTGTACGAGAGCAAGTGAGAAACAGAGAGTATCTCTACCGTGTGGAACGTGTACCGGACGTGCGAGCATGCCACGCCCGTTACCGCAGCATTTCTATGACTATGCGCTGTGCGATCTATCCTAGGGATATAGAGAGTACGTGTCAGGGTTTATAGGTGTGGGTACTGGGATCGGATCGAGGCGGTTTCGTGGTTTTCGTGGAAGACGAAGTTCCGATATCCCCTCTCCAATAGGGAAACGGATCTTGCGTGCGAAAGATCGCACCGCTTCTCGGATCCCATCCTTTTCGATCCTTTGACTATTCACTTTGTTTCCTCATTCTTTGTCTACGTATCGATTATACGAGAAACGTTCTACTTTCGACTAAAAAAAAGAAGAAAAACCTTTGGCGAAATCTTTTAGCATCTACGACACACGACGCTTAGAGTTTGTTTTCTAAAAGATATTAGGAATGCAAGGAACCTTGAAAAATCTGTTTGACTTTTCAGGAAGAAACGGAGTGGTTCGAACGTCTCAGAAAGGAACAACGTTCACGGTTCGATCGGTTTGAGGACTCTCAGCCGTAACAAATTCGAATATCTAGGTATCTATCGTCGAAGTTTAACCTTGGCAGCGAATCGTGAAATGCTAATTGGAATCGAAATGCTAATTAGAATAATATTTATATAGCAATTTCGGAGCGTATGCATCTCGCATAACCGAGCGAGATCGGTGTGAACCTACGGCCGACGTAGCAAGCGTGTACCACCACCATCACCATCACCACCACCACCATCACCATCACGTCGCATTTCGCGTTAATGGCCACAATTAGGTGTTTTAATTAGCACTTACGCGGCAGTCGCAGCTGCCTCTGCCAAATTAGGGCCGCTACGAAACAATAACTGCCGATTGAAGAACCTAATTAGCGAGAATCTCTCTATCTGTCTATCTCCCTCTTTCTTTCTCTCTTCCTTGCTTATTCGCTCTTCAATGTAACCATAGGCAGAAATCTCAGCACGGCTTGCTACCAAGCATTTGCAACGATAATAAATTAATAATTGGCAATGATCCCTCGCTAGATACGATCCGCAATGATGGTCCTCGCTGTATCGTTCTCGTTCGATGCAACGAGTAGTACTTACGGAAGAATAACCCTCGTAATTAAAGTCGAGTCCGTGCTTGTAATCGCGGAATTCATTTTGCATATCGCGATCGGCATCCTTCGAGAAATCGAGATCACTCAGCGGAACGAAAATAGCAGCTTGAGTTTAGGATAGGCTGATGTTATTATTTTTTTTTTCCTTTCTTTTCTTTTCTTTTTTTGCTCGCGCGTTCCCGTTGTCTTGTCGCGTGAACAAAATTTCTCTTCGTGTTTTTTTTTGTTCTTTTTTCTATTATAATATCTCTTTTTCCCTCCGTTCTTATTCTAGAACGTTTCTTTTATCAATGTAACAATTTATTTCCAGTAGATTATTAATAAATTTCGATTCGAAAATTGGTCGTATTAAATTCCGTATATTGGAGAAATCAATGAGGAAGTGCAAAACTTTAGCTATAATTAACTTACCGAGGTCGCGAGAAAATAATAGAGAAGTAAAACCTTGAGAGAAAAAGATAAAAAGAGAGAGAGAGAGAGAGAGCAAAAACAAGAGAACAAAAGAACTAATAGTAAGGTGTTACATTTTCAGCGAGGTTTATTCTTACACGGTGCTAATCGATTTTCATTGGTGTTCGTGGTCGTGGACGATGGAAAAGTAAGTAACGATTTGCGGAGATAAAATAAAAGTATAAGTAGGTACTTCGTGGGCCTCGTAGAGAATGAGAAGGAAGATATAACAAGGGTATGAGATTTCAGGTAACACACACGTTCGTTCGTTCGTTCTCGAACTACCGACGAGGCCAGAGACTTTGGATAATCCTCGTACGTGAATGTGTTCTTCTCATAATATGCCTATCTCTATCTCTCTATCTCATTCTCTTCCTATGTTTCCCTTTCTCTTTTTATTTAACAGACCCTCTGACTACAAATCGGCGTAGAACGGCCGTTGCCTGTAATTTAATATACGCACGAAATGGAGACAGTAATGACTCGTATGGTTTCAGGCTTAAAATTAAATGCGACTATCCGAGTTAGTAAAATTCCTAATTCGTACGCTCCAGATCCGCGGACGGGCAAGGTAGTTGGAGGGAAGAGAGAAAACGACAGAGAGTAAGAGAAAGAGAGAGAGATAGAGAGAGAAAGAGAAAGAGAGAAAGAGAAAAAGAGAGAAAGATAGAGAGAGGGTGGGACAGGAGTACGTAGCAAGCACGTACATTTTTCGTGTGATCTTTCGGGGCTTCGTTTCCTCGTACCCAGCCCCTTTACCTCACCCTTCGAATCTAGCCCTCGAGCTAGTCAAACGAGCCACCACTAGTGGAAGGTGCAACTGGACGCGTTCCAAATTAAATTCGGTCCTGTTGAAATGAAAAAGAAGCAAATGGACTACTGTTCTGTCGCGACAAAGAACAAGGCGTGGGTCAGGAACTCGAACGGATAAAATGAAGGTCTTGGTCCTTAGATACGATAGAACGTCAGTTAATTCTACTCTATGCTACTCATTCCGGTATCATTTTTCAATCATAAATCTTTCTTCCTACCATATGTTTTCTAATCTTCGTATCATCTATACGTTCAAATATATCATTTAAAACGAATACATATTTATACTTAACACAAAATTCTTATCAACTGGGCGTATCTAATACATCGATGCATACCAAATGTGTTTAAAACAATTCTGTCGATTAATCGAGCGTTTTAATCGATAGAAATACACAGCGGAGAGTTTATTCGGAAACGCAATACGATTGTATGCGGGCAATACAAGAGAATAATAGATTCAAATAACGCAGAACGATGAGCGTGGGTTTGTAAAAGAAGGAGAGAGAGAGAGAGAGAGAGAGAGAGAGAGGAAGAGAGAAAGAGAAAGAGAGATGGAGATAGAGATAGATAACGAGTGCGAGAGTCCATGTAAAACCACACGTGCGCTCGTAATCGATGTGCATACGAATCGCAGAGAAAATCTCAGTTTAACGAGCCACGAACGATCCTGCCAGAGTGTTAACTTGTCTTACATTCTTCGTCCTTTGAAATAATAAAGAAGCAAATGGATTTAAAAAAATATACTATTATTCCTTTTCGGTAAGGTTGGAATCGTTAAACAAAGGGAAAAATAAAGAGAAAGAAAGAAAGAAAGAAAGAGAGAGAGAGAGAGAGAGAGAAAAAGAGACAAAGAGAGGGAAGAAATTCGAAGGGTGGCGGAATGTACTCGCGTACCCTTTAATTAATCTCCCTTATTAGCATATAAACTCGTGCGTCGAGATGATGTAACCACCCGCCTCTGTCTGTGCTCTTCTCCGGTAGAGATGAAAAGTGGTGAGGTAAACCAGCAAAAGAGAGAGAGAGAGAGAGAGAGAGAGAGAGAGAGAGAGAGAGAGAGAAAGATAGATAAAGATGTATATATATATATAGAGAGAGAAAGATAGATAAAGATGTATATATATATAGAGAGAGAGAAAGAGAGAGAGAGAGAAGGTGTTCTGTTAGAAACGGTCATAGACCCAGTCACGGGAGGAGTGGCTAGCGAAGCTGGTGCTAGAGTTGCTGCTGCTAGTACCGATCATAGTAGTGGTCAGAGAGTTGCAAAATGTCATAGGGAGTAGTACTTGAGGTAGTGGGCATTACGAAGCCCCTGGAGCACTGTATCCGGCAGCCGCTAGTACATTGTCTAAGGTTTCAATAACTTAATGAACCTGAATGCTCAGACCAAACTGAACTGAACTTCATGGTTAAGGGCTATACGTCCTATATACAAACGTGTCAAGAGTCGATTAATTAAATACAAATTAAATACTTGTCACTAATGTAGGATTGTCTTCTTCATTCCAGAAAAAGAAATACGTAACTTTCAGTCGTATCCCATTGTCGATTCGATTTCGTTCGCATAACGTGTGTGTTTCAGGGATATTAAAAAAAAAAAGGAACTTGTATTTTATTTAATATTAAATTTGATAGGTTCGATTTCTCGGATCTTCAATTTTTCGTTTTATACTGTGAGTTCGAATTAAGAGATATATTTACCAGATTTCAGATTCAGAGAGAGAGAGAGAGAGAGTGAGAATGAGAGAGTGCAAGGAGGAAAGGGGGAAGACGTTATACTCGTGCATAGAATGTAAGGTGCGTCGTTAGTAAGACGATTAAATTAAAATATTTGATTACCGAAAGGGTCGCGGAATGTTCGTCGCGTATGACTGTATCGGCCGGTGCTTCTCGGGGGCCGTTCTGGCCCGAATTTGAAATGCTAAACAGCAAATACGCCTAATGAACACGTATGCTCGTCCGCGTGTCCATGGGTATGTTTGTACCAACCGACGACATTACTGCCGGCGTATTTGCCTTGGCAAGGCCCCCGCAGATAATAGATTCATCCTTCACGCTTCTTAATTAGAAGTTAAGTTTTATTGGCCTTTAGCTTAGCGATGAACACAACAACGCAGCTCTGACCGAACCAGCACGGATATCGCCTATGCTCTCTTCTTTCTTCTTCTTCTTCTTCATCTTCTTCTTCCTCGATCATACCTCATACACCTATCTCTCATTTTCATTCCACTTGCTATTTGAATATTTAATTATATAACTCGTATAATGTGAGACATGTACATTTAATATTCATTATTATTTGTATTAAAATAGATTTGACTCGTTTGAAATTTCTTTATGAATTATTTTAATATAAACATTTATTTGTAAATGTTTAGCAATAACTGATAATAACAATAAATCCGTAATTTGTCATATTTGTTCGTATTGCGATTAATTAGACAAAGGATTGATATTTTTTCGTTGAAATGTTAAATGCTAATGAATGTCTTTGAAAACGTAAAAAATGTAATAAAGAATGATAAAGGAGTAGGAAAAACACGTTATCGTGCCTATTCCAACACCTCCTACAGCCCACATTGCATCGATTCTACGGGCAGCACCTTTGTCGCTTCCTTTCCGGAATGCTTTGCATTCCGTTCGCTCGACACCCAAGTTTCGTTTTTGCAGGAAGCATCAATATTTATATCGCATAATGCATCGGTAATTGCCGCGTGTACACTCTATTTGTTCCGATTTTGTAATATCATGAAAATGTATGAAGCGATAACTATTATTAGAAGGTGGGATGCAAAACTCGATAGAAGGGGCTATGTTAACTAGGTGGCGACAGGTGGTGGCAGTTGCGGGGTAGCTGCTGTGGTTTGCTAGTGCGCAGAATGAAGCAAAATAAAGGATTGAAAGAATGAGAAAGAAGGTATACTAGAAGTAAAGAGAAAATGAAAGAGAAAGAGAAAGAGTAGGAGGAATAGAAAGAGGAAGTAAATGAAGCGGAGAATGAGATTGCAGGATTATCGAGGAACCCTCTTGCGTGAACATTTTTTCCTCTCCCACCCTTTTTTCTTTTTTTTTTTTTGCTTCTCATTCGCCCTGCGAGTCGAGAACAACAATGAGTCTTCTTTAATGAAACGCCGGTGTCACCGACAACGCGTTCTACTGTAACTCGAACGACCACGATGAAATCCATAAATCGGGAGGAAAAAAATTTCCCCGAAAAAAAAAAAATAAAAGAAAAAAGAAAAAGATGGGGAAGTACTTGACACATTGTAGAGATTTATCGAAAATTACAATGTTGCTAGGGTTGAATTCTTTTTGTTTTTTTTTTTCTATTTTTCTCCCAACAAAGTTGCATATATAAACACTGGTTCATATTTTCCCTGATATTCTAATCTTACCTTCCTTATTTCTTTTTTTTTTTCTTTCACTTTTCGTTTTGTTTCGTTTTTATTTACAAAAACACTCGCAGAGAACGAGTGAAGTAGCACGTCGGCGAGATTTCAAGTCGATTCTCGAGGATCTTCTCGGCTCTCTCCTTCTATCCCGTTTCGGGTTGAAATTTTCAGGAGCTTTGACAAGGGAGCGAATAACCGTCCGATGTTTCCTCGGTTATCTTCTCCGTACGTTAACCTTTCACTTCTATCGTTGCAGCGTTGAAAAGTAAGACGAAGGAATCAAGAAAAGAAAAGAAAAGAAAAGAAAAGAAAAGATAAGGATTTTTAGGCTTTGATATTCGAAAAAATAATGTTTCCGTTTGGTACGGATCGTTGGATATTCTTTCGACGTATGGCTATGGAGAATTCGTACATTTCAACGTTCATCGTCTGACAAAGGTCGAAGCAATTCCGTAACTCTAGGAAACTGACCGACGTAGTAGAGTAGAGCATTCTCTCTTTCTCTTTCTCCTTGTAAGAGAGAAGAGAGGAGGTGTCGGACGTTTCTCGATTCGTGGAGGCGTGTCGGAGGAAACTGGACGGCTCTCGATTTATCGACAACCTGTACAGACGCGTTGTTAAGACCTCGTGGAAATGGCTCGCAACAGAGTACGATCCATATTACTAGGGAGACCTATAGAGAAGGCAAGATGACCGCTTGCTCGGCAGCCAAGATCTGCGGCGGAGGGTCCTGTCGCCTGGAAAGGGGGATGAGTGGATGGCTGGGTGAAGCCGGAATAAGTTATCTGCAACTAGCAACCCTTCGACTAAGTGGATGGTTCTCAAGCACATTTTCAGATCGTCTTTGAACGTCATAATAACATTTTTCCTATCGAACCTTTATTTCGTTTCTTTTCATTATACGGCTTTGTTACTTCGATATTTTTTAAAGCATCGATTATACAATGTTCTTAGAAACACGGCTGACACTTTTTAAGGAATATTTTTAGAATATATTATAAACGCTCGGAAAAGTCGTTCGGCTTTATAAAAGATTAGTGGATTATAGGTTGGACCGAGTTAGATCCTCGTAAAGATTCTTAAACGCTCATTTGTTGCGTCAAACAGCCTTTCTCTAAGGCAACCGAGAAGGGTTCAGGTTGGGAACCTATTTTCCCAAGAGGGCGGAATAAGGTGGACGGAGAGAAGCTGAGGAGGGAGTCGTCGTTGTGTCCAGTGTCTCGGCGTGCGGCCGCTGGGGTAGTTGTGGCCAGTCACGAGGGCGCATGGGATGGGGTTGGGTTCCTCTTGTACACGAGGCGAGGTTCGGACTTGAGAGATCAATAAACGACCCTCCAACCTGGACACTCGGCCCATCCCTCATCCCACTAGCCAGAACATTACCTTCGCTACCACCTAGACGATCCTTATACTTGTCCTTACACCAACCTGCTGCTATCTTTTTCATTCTTTTTTTCTTTTCTTCTAACGTATACACTTATCAACTTGCACATTTTTTATTTATTTCTTTCTTTTCAGAAATTTCATAACTTACAAACTTCGTTTTAACGATTTTTTTTTGTATTTTTATAATAAAGTTATTCGACAATTAATTCTGTAAATTTATGAAAGATGTAAATTATGTCAACACAGATTGATGTCAAATGCGTCTTGTTAATACAAACCCAATGCGTAGAAAGTTCATTTAACCGGCACAGTATTCGACAGTCGAGACAAGAGGGTTCCTCCTTTCTCTCGCCTAGTACCAAGGATCACATCGGCGTACTTTGTTTCCTATCAATTTGCATAAGGGCGGCTAATGTAAGCAAAGACTGTTACGAGGGATCGTGCTAGCCCCCGGGCAAGCATAATGCACGAGACGCGAGTGGATGTTTCTTAAGCTGAGACCGGAATAATCGATCAAATTAATTTCGTTCTACGTCGCGAATGCTTTCGATGCTAGAACTTTAGGAATTATTAAACGATACATTCTAATGAAAAGTATTACGAGTTATTCCTTATTTTCGTTTAATCAAAACTTTAAGTATAACATATATATCGATTGTTAATCCTTAACGAACGAGTATTTCCTTAAACAATTGATAATGTCGCGAGTATGACGACATTCGTTAGCTAAAGGTTAAAATTTTCAAAGAATATCCAATTGAAATAGACTTTATTATCCGAATACTTAAAAATAACACGTTACGTTCGATAATACTTTTAATTGAATATAATTGAAATGATAATAAAAAAACAAAACTAGCGATTAATTAATATTACTGTAATAATAATGATTATTGTAAAATAAGAAACATAAAATCCAGTTTCCGCATTGGTCCACCATTCTTCTCTCTACCGCTAACAGAGAAAATAAACTTGCTGATTGTCACTTTTGTTTCATTAAAAGCAAACCATGCGAGGGTACCATACTCGTTCCGCGACACAACCATGATGTAAT